AGGGATGTTTATAATAATTTTCATTCGTTACGCTAGTTGGTATTTTGGAAATCTGCTATTTTACAGCAAAAGTTTAATGTTTTGGAGCCATGGTTACAAAAACAACGAAGCAAACCATCAACCAACCAAGCAGTCAGTCAGCCAGTCATTCATTGTGGCGGTTTTTTTCGCTATGCCGATGCCTCTGCTCCGTCAGTTGTTGTTCCTTACCTTTATTTACTCACGTATCAGGCAAAAGTTAAACGTATTGTTGTGCTGAAGATTTTTTATGGCCGCATTGCTTTGTTTTTTTTTTTTTTTTTTGCTATTTTCGCGGTATCGCCATCGATGTTTCTATTTTTTGTTTACCATTTGTTTTTGCGATTCATTGTTAGAGTTTTGGATTTTGGTTTTGTTACACGGTTTGCCAACAGTTTCAGTTCGCTGCTGCTTCAGTTTTCAGTTATAAAAGTGTAATCTCTTTAGCAATGTTGTGTTGTCGTTGTTGTTTTAATGAGGGTAGCCCAATTGCCTGGCTTCGTTGGAGCGTTGTGCAAAACGAAATAACACAGCCATGAAGTGAGAGAGGCTTTGAGGTGTTTCGCCAAAAACCCGACTTGAGCTACGTTGAACTCTGTTGGTTTTGGATTGATAACGCTGATGATGATGATGACGGTGACTATGGTTATAGTGCTTGGTAGTATGCCTACTAACTGTTTTGTTATTTCTGTTTTGGCGCGATGAAACGATAGTCGATTAGAGAGCGCATGTAGTGGTGTTGTGACACACCGTTGGAACGTTTGATGAACGCTTTAATTGTTGCCATTGTTTATATTGCCATTTAGCCTGCCATCGTCGTCATTAGACAGATACGTTCATTATTATAGCATTTTGACTTCTAAAAAGTCACTGACCGATCGCATTCAAACGAAATGAAATTAATGTTCAGGAAAAAGACAGAGTCTATAAGAAAACAAAAACACATTGTATCTACTTAGTTAATTCTCTTACGTATGGATTGAACGGTGTCAGATCCTATCGTAACATTTCAATAATTATACAATACCAAAAGTAAGACTATGCCTTCGATATTGCTTAATTCATAGTAATATATGTGTAGTTTGTAATAAGTTCTACTCCCAGTACAATAACGTTATCTCCCGATATTCGGGAACTCAAATAAAACGGTTGTTATCATTTTGTTCTGTATTTTCTCCAACATCGAAACGAAACAAACCCGATATTAAGAAAACGGGACTTGTTTTTATACCCTCCACCTTGGAAAGGAGGGTATATTAACTTTGTCATTCCGTTTGTAACATCCCTAAATATTCATCGTAGATATTCATAATCAGCATAAAATTCTAAGTCAATTTATCGATGTCCGTCTGTCTGCCCACATTATTTGACGTAGAGCGTCAGCATTTAGCAGAACAATTTGTATTGTGCCTAGGATCGTTGGTATTGAAAATGAGATATACCGGTCCACGTTTTGGTATAGTCCCCATATAACGGTGCCTTTCAATTTTCGTTATTTTGTTGATTTTTTCCACATTTTTTCACGGATTTGTATAAAATCGGTATTTGTAGGTCATAATGGATTCTTGCTCATGTGGCGAAACATTGTATGTATAGGTCCACGTTTTGGTATAGCCCCCATATAACGGTACCTCTCGATATTCGGTATTTTGATGATCTTTGCCACATTCTTTCACTTATTTGTCTAAAAATAGGTATTTGTAGGTTATAAATGGTATGCTGGATGACGCGGCGTGGGAAATGTGGGTCTATACGAAAGCGTGGATCTGCATAGGCAACTTTTGTCCCAAGCCATTAGAGTATTCAAATGCGAAACTTGAAAAAATCGGTGAATAATGAAGCTAAAATCATCAAAATACCGAATATCGGGTGGTACCGTTATATGAGGGCTATACGAAGACGTGGACCTGCAGAGACAATTTTCTGTCATAGGTGGTAATATCCATTACGAATTTCAAATACCAAATTTGAAACAATTCCGGTGAATAATGTCGCTAAAGTCTTCTAAATACCGAATATCGGGAGGTACCGTTATATGCAAGCTATACGAAGACGTAGACCTGCAGAGACATTTTTCTGTCATAGGCTGTAGTATCCATTTCGAACTTCAAATGCCAAATTAGAAACAATTCCGTTGAATAATGTCGCTAAAGTCATAAAAATACCGAATATCGGGAGACGGACGGCCATCACTAAATCGATTTAGAACTTTATGCTGATTTTTGTGGGGTCTAAAATGTTTATTTCGAGGTGTTACATACGAAATGACAAACTTAATATACACTCCTTACTATAGTGGATGGTATAATAATACTTAGAATGACAACTCTAAATGTACCAGCACAGCAATCGTATTGTTTGTGTACTTCTGGCATTGAAGTGTGTGCAGTACAAAACGATTGAAAACAATTAAAGTGTTTGTGATTTGGTGTGAGCGGTCCGTTATTAGTCTCGTTGGTTTTCGTACGCTGATTTAACTGCATTCTGCACCTATTATTCAAGTAGTTTTTATTTGAATTTCAACCGCGAATTACGAATTAAATTCTAAAATTACGAGTAAAAAAATCGAATTAGAAATGAAATTTGCGAATTACAAGAAAAATGTTTCGAATTACATTGGAAAAGAGTGTAGTACTTGCAGTTTCAAATGGAACTTAAAATCGAATATTTAATCGCGATACTTTTTATTATAGAAATTGGAGTTATCTCATTGTGGAAGGTATTAAAAGGCTTTTCTATTCTAACTCAAGTCATTGGCATACATTAAAATTTGCTTTATTCTTTAACATATTAATCCAGTCGATAACATAATGCAAGCAAGACACGATACAACTGCTTGTACACCTTACAGCAGTTGTCTTCAAGATTGTGTTGTTTTTTTGACCGGTTGTACGAAGTTGATATTTAGCATGTTGTACCAACTCACTATCAACGTGAACGTACGACACCCGCAACTCGTCGATTCTCAGGGTTACAGTAACTGGTTTCACTTAAGACCCCTCACAGTGCAAACAATTGTAAACTTTAACATGGGGATGTCATGCGAGGTAACCAATTGACTCCCTTTGCATCAGGAAGGCCTGATTCACAGTCATATACCAGTGACCAAAGACTAAATCCTATATAGTTCAATGTATACAGTTCGAATAACTTCTTTGTTGGTTGGTTTTTTGGTGGTAGTTTTTTATTTATACTTGGGGACACATTTTGTATTGTTATGGCTTATAGGACGACCGACGAAACAGAGTTAATTGGAATTTTCATTGCTAACGGGTAAGAAGTTAGTGAGACAACATAAGATTTTCTCTCGACAGATCGCAAAAAGTAAACGAATAGCATTTTGCAAAACATTTAAATAAAATAAATAAAAACATAATGAATGAAATAATAAATATTCCTGCATCTCCAATTGATATAGGCATGGGCTATGGTGCTCCACGGATGCACATTTTTTTGCTGGATTTGTCTCTCTAATGATAAAAATAGCTCATCCATCATCCGATCTTAAATTATTTATTTTTCATCTTTGCTTTTTGTAAAATAAGACCACTTGTTGGATAGGTATTTTTTTTAATATTCAAATGATACCTATGATGTCAATATCAGTTGAGTGGATCCGGATCCAACTCGGGTCTTGGACACAGACTTTTAGGTCAAATATCCGTGTCCGGATCAGGGTACAAATACCTAACTCTGGAAAAAAATTAAAAAAATCCCAGAGTTTCTACTGCATTATACTTGTTCCAAAAAATTCTACAATCAGGACAAAAATATCTAAACACTCACCCACCCACTTGAATCTAATACCATAGACAAATTAGGTATAGACTAAAAAGTTGTCTCATTTGTTATCTCTGAAAAAAGTGCTTCAATAGATGTCGTTCATGCTGTGAGAGAGGTTCAGTAGACTCACTCAATTCTCTCAAAATACAAAATATTAAATATTTTTATGATTCTTTATTATTTATCTACTAAAAACGAAACGTCGGCGTTGTTTACTTTTACATTATCCAAATATGTCGTGAAATATAAAAACATAGAATTTAAATAGCAGAAAAATGAATAAATTGTTTTCGAAGTCGAGTGACTTCACTAGCCCTGAGTGACTTGACTGGCCAAAGATCAACAATAGTGACATCTGCCGGAAGAGAAAATTTTAAAACTTTTTAGTCTATACCTTTATTTGTCTATGCTAATACCTATTTTATGCTAGGAACACAATTGGAGCGAACGACGAATTTTTTCGCGGCGTATGTTCGTCGTCAAAAATAAAACACATATGTGTATATGGAAGTGCACACAATCACGGCACCGGCGAAAATTTCGTCGGTCGCCGCGAACTCAATTAGCTTTATTTCTATTTCATACGCCGGCGACCGGCGAACAAAACAGTACAAGGTGGCCATACTTGTACGAATTTTATGTGTTTTAGTAAATAAAGTTACTTTTTACTTTAAAATTTGTTATGGTCACTCTACTATCTGTTACTCGTATAAAAAAACATAATTAATTTGTTTATTTATTTGTGTACTTGCGCCTGAGTGAAGATGGATATCAGTGAATTTATAATAGAGAAGATGGACATAAGTGAAATTATAATAGAGAACGTAAAGAATTATGTGTTCTTGTATAATTCATTGTAGTCAACAAATGAACAAAAAGTAAACAACTTCATCAGCTGTTTTATAATTTCGTCGGTATTGTGTTCCATATGACGAATTTTCGCGGCTCATTTTGTCGCCGCGTAGGGCGAAATTCGTCGTTCGCTCCAATTGTGTTCCTAGCATTACTTGTATGCTTCTCTTATTGACCAAAAAAGAACCTTTAAACCTGTCATTCATTCATCTACTGCACTTAACGGTCGTTGAAACGCCAACGTGCTCATTGTGTTCAGTGTCCATGTCATGTTTCACTCAACTGGTGAGAGTTGTCTAAATTAAATGATGTTATTCACGCTCTCAAATTGCACTCACTTGCGTTCACGACTCTCAACTGAGTTATTTGTATTCTGCTTTTAACGCGAGTTGGTTGTGTTTTTGTGGACGGAAGAAATACAGATCTTAATTTTGCAAGCCAACTTTATTCTTCTGATTTTTTATTTAGTACATAAACTGAATTCAACACAACGTCTGTTGTATCGCGCATCGTCGTTGGTATACGTGTGTATTTGTGTGTCTGCTACTGCTGCCCGTCCCCATTTATTGTAGTGACAAAAACAACAACAAAATTGAAGAGAAATTAATGAATAAAAAAAAAAAAACGAGAATACAAAGAAATAAATTAAATTATTAAAGAAGAAATAAAAGCAAGGAAGAAACGAAAAGCTGCAAATAAATGTTAATTACTAAATGCAAATACAAGTATTTGTGAAATAAAGAAAGAAAAAATAATTTTAAACAAAGAAGAAAAGAATTTCAAAGTTGAAACCAGATATTCCAAGCAGACAGCGTAATAGGAAACGAGAAAAAATAAACGAAACTGCTGTGTGGAAATTTTTATTATTACAGAAGAGTACTATAAAAATTATTTTTAAAGATTGTCTGTGCTGCACAGAACAACACAAAGCGCAAGAAAGAGGAAGAGAAAACCTGAAAAAGAACGGAATAAACCAGCAGAAGATAAAGGGTAAATAAAACAAGTATACAGCATAGCATATACTATTTAGGTACTTGTACGTACACTGGGCCCCAGGAAAAAGGGCGACGTCAAAATAAGGAAAGAAGAAAGAAAATCCCCGAACAGTAAAAAACAACAACAGAGCAGCCGTGCTAAGTTGTACGTACATAAGAGAAAGGAAATTGTGTAAAGTGATGGTTTTTGCGCCGTTTTTTATTTTTTGTTTGTTTTCGCTGGGGATATTGTGTATGCATAGCCGAGTTGGTGTGTGTTTGTGTGGCGCGAGTGTATATTTTGCTGGCTGTGTGTTTTGATATTCTTTTTTTCTCTGGCGAATGACGACAAAAGGTCGGACCCGGACCGGTAATGAATGTATTTGCTGTTGTTATTATTGTTCTTCGTCAATGTGTGCGTGAGTGTATGCTTGCTGCTGGATTTTTTGGCTTTTGTCAGAAAAGACAGACATAGCTAGAGTGAGTGAGTGTATTTTATTTTCTGAGAAAAAGAGGGTGTTGGTTGAGTGCGAGAGAGAGCGTTTTTTTAGAAATTGAGTTGGCAATTACGTTGGGAGTTTTCTATTGAATTGGAATATCCAGCCGACAGTTATTGCTGCTACATGAAAGTATTTACTAAGGCGTGTAATAAACACCCCCAACCCTACCGGTGGGAAATTGTGACTTGTTCCCTCATCACATTTGCTTGTATGTATCCATATACAAATGCAAAACAAAATATATGCCCATGACTACATACTACATGTATGTAACAACTTGATGTATGTACATTTGTCTATAAATAAAATGGAAATAACGCGTTGAACCTATGCTCATAACCACCAACTTACCATTATTTTACTATTATTGTCGGCTTTCTGTTCGTTCGTTGTTGTGTTGTTGCGGTGATGTTTCATGTTACCGATGAATGAGTCAGTGTTTATATTTCTCTATATATCGTATGTATGTATGCATTGTATATACAGATATTGCTGTATATAAAATACATCAATGACAATTGTTTGGGTGCGTTCGTGTCTATATGTGAGTGTGTTTTTGTGTGAAAAAGGTTGTTTAATTATATGTGTTGTATGTGTCGACGGTTGATTCACAAGGGGGGTAAGGGTATCTCATGGGTGACATGAAAATGAAAAAAAAAAAAAAAACAAAACAAGAGTGGAAAAATAAAAACATTACCAAGTAATTAATCCATGAGAAAACATTTGTCACGAAATTTAAGTTGGCTTGAGTGAGTGGCTGCCTGGCTGTAATCACAACTATAATATTTTTTGTAATATTTTTTATAGTTGTCTACATTTTTACCATTTTTAAATTAAACCATGGAAATTTTATTTATTCAAGATAATTATCTTAAAATTTGATCATATGACAAAAAATATTTATCAGCTGTTCCAATATGGGTACGGGTTTTGGCTTTTTCTTACGAGTATGGGGTAAAATTACGTATTACGTATAGATATTGAGCTTTAATTTGGAGATTACGATAATATGAAAAAAGGTGTGAGAATTAATGTACAAACTAGGTGGGTATTTGAAGTGCGTGTTTTAGTCGCGGTTGGACGTCATACAGCCCACCTAAAGTAATCTAATCAATTATTAATTATAATCAAATAAGTAGCTATTTTCCCTAATTGTATGAAGGAAAGGTGAATTTTCATACGGACACAGGTCCTGAACAAAACTCTTCTGAAAAATTTGAACGTTTCCTGGAAATAAATCTCCACCAAGCTAATAATTTTTTCCAAGGTTTCTGATTTTGGATTTTATTCCAAGATTTCTAAGTACGTTTTTTTAGAAATTTGCCGATTTCTTCAAATTTGTTGATTATGGACCGATTTAGAAAATCTTTCCAATTTCAGGGGCCACAGCCATACAACTTTGTACCGAAATCGGATGTAATTCGAAAGCAGAATCGCAAATTTCAAAGGTTTAGCAACGTAACTATGGCTAACAAAATTTTGCTGCGTAGATCTCCTATTCGCTAAAGATATTATTTACCCAGAAAGGGAACTTGTTCAAGTTTCTATATATAAAGTTCTATCTATAGACGTAAGGCCATCTATAGCTCTGCTTTGAATATTATGATTTCCATAAGTTTTGGTTGAGAAGAAGACCTTCAAGGGTGCCCTACAAATGGGTGACTTTCTACAGATCTTTAGAAGAAAGATCTTTGTGCTTCATAGGTTTTATGTAGACGACGATTTTTATATATACAGGGTGAGATAAAAAACTGCATCAAAGTTAAACGCCATAATTTTTAAATTTTTCTTTAAATTTTATTGAATAAAATATGTCGGAAATAGCATCAAATTTTAGAACATGTTTAGATTTGTTTGAATTGGTCACCATTGGCACGAATTGTGGCCTTCCAACGGCCAATGAAACCGTCACACGCTGCCCGAATGTTGCTCTGCGATATTTTGGCCCATTCCCGGCGAAGCGCTTGCTTGAGGTGATCGACACTTTGGTATTTTTTAGTACCAACCTTGCTTTCCAAAATACTCCAGACACAATAGTCCAACGGATTGGTATCCGGAGATTTTGCGCTGGAAATGAAGCAAGGAACCTCATTTTATAACCATTATTGGGTGGCGCGTGCTGAGGGCGATGGTGCTGAGTCCTGTTGGAATGTCCAAGGTCTGGGGCCAAAGTGTTTGCTTTAACTCTTTTGAGTTTATTTTCTTTCTGTTGCGGTGTAAGTTCTTGCACTTTTTGGAATTTCAATGGCTGTACCCCGAACTCATTTGTCAATATTTGTGGAATGGAATATTGCGATATGTTCAGCTCACGAGCCATTTTTCGGTCGGTACGACGCGGGTTTCGATCAAGTCGCTTCTTTACTTTTCGAACCGTTTCTGCTGATGTTGTTGTTTTCTTCCGTCCACTTCCTTGACGTCGGGCTACGCTACCAGTATCACGGTAACGAGTGATGGTACGAGACACAACAGATTTATTCACATTTAAATGCTGGAATGCTCTAACGATAGCCACTTGTGGTTTTCAATACCACGCCTGAATTCCATCACAAATATTTTTTTTTCTGGAAAATTCTCACCAGAATTATTTTGTTTGCTTGTAAACAGTATAATGAGCTGTCGCTGGAATAATTTTAACGGCTGTCGGACGAGTGGCTTAGAAATGACAGCCGTCTGAATTTGGATGCAGTTTTTTCATCTCACCCTGTATAGACGTAAGGCCATCTACAGCTCTACTTTGAATATTCTGATTTCCATGAGACTTTGTTGAGTAGAAGACATTCATGGTTGCCCTATAAATGGGCGACTTTCTACAGATCTATATCAAAATATCCTCCATAGGTATCCTCCATAGGTTTATCTACATCACATTGAGGTACAGGTTATTATGTATTTATGATTTTGTTTGTACTATGAAGAAGGAGACGATATAGACCCAGTACTTATTTTTGAGGATTCCCATACAATCGCTTTCTGAGTGGACTTATGGATGCCTGTCTGTCCATGTATTTTTGTGAACAAGATGCAGGTCACATTTATAGTCTGATCTAGAAAAAATTGTACACATATCATTTCTTTGATCGAGGACGAACCCTGTAGAAATTGGTGATAATCGGTTCGAATTTCGATCGATTTTAAAATTGTTGTGTTCTCTTCGTGTAATATTCGTCCAAATGGGTTGGATTTCGGCACATTCGGTGATAATTGGCTCAGATAAAGCTACAGCTCCCATATATATTTTCATCCGATTTAGTGTTTAAGTCCCTCACATTCGTACAATCCACAACAACGATATTTGGTTCGAGATACAAGATACACCCTAGGAATACGTCTGCCAATTTCTTTAATTTGTCTGTAGCTTCCATATATATCTTGATTCGATTCCATTTTTTTTGTGCAACAAATGGTTAATATCGGTTCAACCGAATTTATAACGAATGCAAATACGATATATATTTTTGAATTCAGCCCTGCTCGAATATATAACCCTAACTCTATTGCAATGTTTTTTGTCGTGAGAGGTACAAATTCCGACTTTTGATCTTTCTTTACTGGTTACTCTATGCTATACTATATTTTTTATATAAAACTCCAAAAAATCTCAATTCATTTTGGATTTTTTTAAATTTCCCGTCCCTGTTTCTTTACCATAACTTAATTTTTCATTTGTTTGTCTCTTTTTCGACTTTGGAATTTTTCTTTACATAAAATATGCCTCTCTTTATGCACATTATATATACATACATATTTCGGAATTTAATTATTTTCTTATAAGGTTTCCCCGTTCTTTATTTCCTTTCACTGAATTGAAAAGGCATCTTCTATATCTATAAAAGAGGAAAATGTTTGTATGTTTGTTTGTTTGTTTGTTTGTAATTTATGGACTCGAAAACCGCTGAATAGATTTTCCTGAAAATTTCCATATATACTGCAACATCGCCTGAAAGTAACATAGGCTATATACATTTTTGAATTTCCACTTGGAACTGGAGATATAGCATCAGAATCGGAGGTACCTCCCAAAAATTTAGATTTTATATGCACATATCTATTGATTGGTTGAAGATACAGTCTCAAAATTTGGAATACGTAACGAAATTTGGGACAAAAATAAGTCTGCCAAATTATATTGTAATCGGTTCAGATTTGGATATGGCTCCCATATATATTTTAGACCGATTTCAAGCATTTGATGCACCAAACACGCTATGTATCCCCAATTTCAATGAAATTTGAAACGTGTGATAGATTTTATCTAAAAAATTGATTTCCCAAGTTATATTGAAATCGGTTCAGATTTGGATATAGCTCCCATATACATTTTCGGCCGATTTCATGTATTTGGTGGACCAAACACGACATGTATTTCCAATTGTAATGAAATTTAAAATAAGTAACGGAATTGGGAGCCAAAATGAATTTGTCGAATTAAATTAAAATCGGTTCAGATTTGGATATAGCTCCCATATATATTTTCGACCGATTTCATGTATTTGATGCACCAAACACGATATGTATG